AGAGAGAGAGAGAGAGAGAGAGAGAGAGAGAGAGAGAGCCATCCCCACCTCATCACACACACACCTTACAGCCACGTCCTCAGTGTCACGTGAGACCATATAATACAAAACATGGGCGTAGATGCGTAGAATAAAAATAACCGTGATTATGATGCCCTGAGGCGGTGGTGGCGACGGAGTTTACATTCCCCGGAGGCGATTCACTGCACTGCTTGTTTCACACACCTGGCCGAGGGAGGTGAGGGCGACGGTGATATCGTGGCTTCAGGAGTGTGTTAATGTCCGGCGTCGATTGATGATGTTGAAGGGGTGCGTTGTATTAAGGGTGCTGAAGGGGTTCGTTGATTGAAGATCTCGGAGTGCGTCGATTGAGAATGTTTAAGTAGATCCATCGATCGGATTCGTTTACTGGTTTAAGGAAAAGAAACTCGGATTCGGTTCCAAAATCCACCTTAATCCCCCCCCCCCCAACAATATTCCAATCCCCATATTACAATTTCCTCCCTAAATCCCTCCCTCATCCCCTCCCCCACTCCCCATTGGCAACTCCCCCCATGACGTCACAGGTGGGCGTTCGTGAGCACTATGCGGGTTTGTTTATGTCTGTAGATGACGTCAAGGTCTCCAGATTGTATACTAAAGAATATACAGAATCACCCAAAAAGAAAACCCAGATTTAAATTGGTTATACGAGTATATTAAGACCTGGGCATCCTTTATCGATAAATACATTATGAAAAACAACAACAAAAACAATCGAGATATCAGCCCCAGCCAAGGTCATGTGTGTTATCTACAGGGTGTTTCAAAAAATGTAAAAACCACGTGGAAACATATTTTCTGGGAGACCCTGTATATGAAGCATACGGCTATTAATGTTTCCATGACGACAACTCTTGAGGAATTTCTTAATAAAAATATATATCACCTGAAGATCAGCCCCCAAGCTTACCTCATCTTAAGCTGTGAGGGGAGGGTGGATGAGGTAACCCTAAATAAGTTGTACTTCATCAGAACGGATAAACAGTGGTCTATATGCTGCGTAAAACATCCATCAGTGAGGTCAGGAGGGGCGGCTACTGAGCTATATACGCAGCTTAAATTAAGAGAAGCCAAATGATCTCAAAAAAAGGTAAGCGAGAAATAAGTCAATGATAATAGTTTTCTAATACAAATGTTCACACGACAAAATAAATAAATACATTAAACAAAAATACAAACAAAGAGAGAGAGAGAGAGAGAGAGAGAGAGAGAGAGAGAGAGAGAGAGAGAGAGAGAGAGAGAGAGAGAGAGAGAGAGAGAGGAAGTTGCACGATAACACTGCACTGTGATCGACGGAAGACTCAACACCTGCAGTACATGTATACACACACTGAGACACGCTCTTGTGTTTGTCGATGATTCCCCTTATATGTAATGTTGGTTAAGTGTAAAAATAAAAATAATTAGAATATTTTAGTAGATACCATTTCGTCTATTGACTATAAATAGGAATATTTCTTAAAAAAAATATCTATTGTCTAAGTATTAATGTTTTTGTCACGCTTACTTTATACTCTTACTTATTGTACCAACATAACCATTATGTCAAATATTGTCACGTGGATAGAAATTACCATTGCAATAAATATATTTGCCGACAAGACATGATAATGACTGTGCCTGTCCCCTTGTTTTACCTTAATACAACCCATGCTGTATTGCTTCCCTCCTTTATCATATTAATGTATATCAACTCCACTGTAAAATATGTATACAGTATACTTATACCAGAACTGTAAAAAAAATATGATAACAGTGGTAACATTCTCCAATGTATTTACTAACACTAAGTTACAGTACGTGTATTATTCCAGATAATACCAAATGTTATATAAAAATTCCTTGAGTTAAATGTACCGTATCAGGAGCCACTCAGGGAGCTCAGGTTCTCAACTGGCTCAGCCATGTCAATATTGTTATTATTATCCACTCTGTACCTGTATTTTTCTGGCTAAATAAACTGTTTCAATATCAATATCAATATCAAGGAATAACTATAGTACTGTATTGATTATTACAGGTGCACGTGGACTTTTTTTATCACCTTGTACAGTGACAAAAGTGAAATAGTTTGTTACCCACCCTGTACATCCCCGAGTATCGCTTGTAAACAATTTAATCCGATTAAATTTTTTGTTGTCAAAAGTCAGGAAACAGTGACGACCGATCATTGAGAGAATGAACGAAGATGTACGATATAGTGTAGAACATGTAGACCAATGTGTGAGGTGTATGTATGTATGTCATCCTCAGTGTACAAGTCGAAACATGCCCAGGCAGATATGACAAGACTCACATGCTTGTGTTACAATGAGTATCACATGTCAACTACAAGAAACCTTTTCTACAATACTCACATAGCTGCGAAAAAAAAAATAAAAATCTACAAAAAATTGAAAAAAATACTCCTCACACTCTGGCAACACTGCGCCCCGTCCCGTGAGTGGCGGTGTTGCCAGGCGAGTATAATAACAACAAAATTAACAGTATTTCCAGATTAAAAATATATTTTCAAACAAATACGTAGTCATGCTTTTGCCAACCAAGTGAGCTGACAACAAACAAGTGTCATGCTTGCTTCATACAACATAAACATCAAAACATTACAGCAACACATTCAACATTCAAAATAGAAACTCTTTTAAGAAATTCCTTCCTAATCGTCTACAACATTCCAGGGAAACATCTTAATTCACAAAATGCAAACAATAAACATAATTTACAAACATGTTAGATACAGACAAACAAACATGCAAACATAGTAAGGAAGGTTATGGACGAGAAATAACTGGACAAGTTTATTCACAATCTGGCAACATGAAGAATCCTCACCCCACCCGACCCAAGTTATCGTACTGACAAATGACTCCTTTAAGAATTCCACCTTTACTTATGAATGAATTAAATAAGTAACTTTCACCTTTAATGTACTTCCAATTGAGTTACTTAAGAATCCTTACTTAACATAAAATTAAATAAGATTCATTACTTAAAAATGTATTAAGTAAATATTATTTTTGTGTTTATATTTTAGTGAATAAACATTAATATTTCCGCCCATTTCCTTACTTGTATAATTAACAAAGGCAAAGGAAGTTATAGGAAGAAATATAACATAAACATACAGATAAATTAACCTTAATATTATAGATATGGAAGGTTAATCTTAAAAAAAAATAATGACAGGTCACCTTAAATTAATAACAGATGATATGCCTTAAATAATAAACAAAAGCAATACCTTAAATTACAGGCAGAAGCTATACCTTAAAATATAAAGAAGTTATACTTTAAATTATATAGAGAGACAGAAGGTCACCCTTAAATTATAACAAAAGCTATAATTTTAAATCATATTATATACCTTAAATTATATATATAGCAAAAACTAGAAAAGTCCCTTAAATTATAGACAAACAAACACTCAGCCTAAAATCATATAAATGTTTAGCTTAAAGACATCTGTTAAATTATAGGTAAACAAAAAAATCACTATAATTTCTACGGCAAATTAAGCAAAAATATAAAGCTCATTTCAAAATTTAGCTTAAAACAAATGAATTAAGACACAAAACAGCTAACAATGAAAGCTACAGATGAGGAATATTTAGCTGAAAAATACTAAACGTTCCAATTATGACCAAATAACCTGCTTCATGCTACAACATAAACCTAAGTCTTGAGAAACGACGTAAACACAGTGTTGTAAACATTCCTAAAAACACTATTAAAAATTTACTCAAAGTTCCTGGCATTAAAAAAAAATTAATTAAAAACACTCCTATGGAAAAAAATAATAATTCCTGGTAAAAATATAAAAAAATATTCCCTAGCTAAAATTCTTAAACCTGGCAAAAAATATGAAACTTAAACCTGGCAAAAATATGAAACTTAAACCTGACAAAAAATACACAAAATAAATTGAAAAATCTTATTCCTATCAAAAAAAATTAATTCCAAAATTTAATGACCAACGATGATTAGTTAATTAAATAGAGCTTCAAATATTCGATTAATTAACCTTGACTCTGAATCTAATTTTTACCAAAATATCTAATCCTTATAATCCTAATATGGAACAGTTATCGAATATTTTTCAATATCTATTCCCTAATCATCTACGAAATTGAATATACTTCTCACCAATCTACAAAAACAAACCCTACCCATCCAGTCCCTAGAATATATTTCACACCAATTTGCTGAACTAAATCCTAATCCCGGAAAACCTTGAATATATTTCTTTCCAATCAACAGAAACTTTCAGACCACTCTGCATAATTAACCTAATCACCAATTACCTTAAACAAACACACACACATACTTCCTAATCACCTATTTACCTAAACAAAAAAACTAACCTAATCACCATCGCACCTGTAAAAACAAAAGCAAAACACACACACACACACACACACACACACACACACACACACACACACACACACACCGAACTCTTCAGCAGCGTTACCCAATATACTTTCTACAATGATTATAAGTCAAGGAGGAAGTAAAATACCTGTATAACCCGTTAATTATTACCTGTATGACCCATTAATTATTAACTGTATGACCCATTAATTATCACCTGTATGACCCACCTGTATGACCCATTAATTAATTATTACCTGTATGACCCACCTGTATGACCCATTAATTATTACCTGTATGACCCACCTGTAGACCCACTCTTATTTACACCAACATTTCTCTTACCTGATTTTTCGGGATCAGAAGTCGAGCCGTCTGGTTTAGACTCTCGCGTCCTTTCGCTGCAACTGCTACTATCTGCAACACAAAATTTGCAACACATGAGTCAACACTACTAGCATGACAGGAAGGGAAGTAATAGCGTCAAGTCAAATTACTATTGACAATAATAATATAACCTAAAATATAAAATATTCCCCCAAATTTTCAATAATTCCCCCCGTGTGAGATAATTCCCTTAATTACTA